AGAGCTTCGTAAGGTGTCATTCCAATCTTGGAATGGAACAGGCGATTGGATAGATAGTTGACTGCAAGCATGAGATGCCCCCAGAGGTACTTTGGGAGTTGATTCTCAGCCAGTACTGCGATGACCGGCTCAATCAGGTGTCGATTCTTAATCTCGGCGATTCCGTTCAACTGGGGCGTGTAGGGAGGGGTCGGATCCCAGATGATTCCCTTATCTGAGGCGTATGTCTGGATAGGCTCGTGTTCTGCGGCGTTGTCACCGCGGATTCGCTTCACCTTGTATGAGAACTGGGTCTCTAGGTAGTTGATTACCTGGATGAGTCGATCAAGAACCTCTGTGCGTGATTTCAGCAGGAAGACCCAGCAAAACCTTGTTGCGTCGTCCGTGACAGTTAGAAAGTATGTTTCACCGCCGTGCGCCTGGACGCTCAGCGGCCCGCACACGTCGATATAGAGGAACTCCCCAGGGCCTGTTCTGATCGATTTGTCACGGCCATACGGCAGCTGGTGCCCCTTCCCAATTAGGCAGGGCCCGCAAGGTAGGCGTAGCCCCCCTTTATTTAGGCGTAAGCCGGTGACATAGTCTGGTAAGATCCGGAGACGTCTGTCTGAGAGATGCGCGGTGCGTCGATGGGCTAGTTCGATCGATATCGGCTGGGGCTTCTTGACGGTAGCTGCGTTGATAAAGGCTTCGAAACCAGGCCGAGAGACGGACTCGATATCGGTGGAATCGGATAGCCCGCCAGCCTGTTGCAGGCGTTCAAACGTCTTGATAGATTCCCGCCCGGTAGTGCATAGGAAGTAGTGGTTTAGTATCGTCTCTGCGAAGGCTTTGGTGAGGCCGTTATGCAAGAGTTCCACGCCGCCGTCTTTTTTGAAGACGATTTCGATACTCAATTCCGCAAGCTTGCGGATAGAGACAAGGTTGTGGGCCAGCGCGGGTGCATGCCAAACTTTGGGAAAGACCAGAGATCAGATACGCTCGTTGCTATCGGGTAGCGTGAGGTCGACGATAATCGTGCCGTAGCCTTTGGTCCAAAAGACCTGGCCTGTAGCCGTTCGAACTGGCAGTATAAGCTCATGGTAATCAACGAATGAAGAACGGTATGGCGTCATTGTGTCGCTGGCGCCTGAGTCTAGCATCCAGTCGTGTGGCCTATCGCGGTTGACTGCGGTGATCTCATTGTATTGTATCTGCTGACAGGAGAGTTTGCCGTTGTTGCACCAAAGGGAGTCACTATCAAGCGTAATCTGATTAGCCTCTCTGTCATGATCTTCGTTTGATTGGTTGGAAGAATGGGTAGTAGTGGAATCGGCAAATCCGCCGCGTCCGCGGCCGCGCCCTCTCTGGCTTCCTCGCTGGGTGGAAGTAGTAGTAGAAGGACTAGAAGAAGAGTTCTTTAGGCGACACGCGGATGGCATATGATTGCCAAATTTGCTATGGTGCGGACACCGGATGACTCCCACGTCTTTGTTATCTGGATTTTGAACGGTAGGGCCCTCAGAGGGACGATTTGATGACGAATTGGAGCGATAGCTCTTGATACTTCCTTTCCAGCGCCTGAATTCTCGCCGGTGCCTCTTCAACAGACATTGTGAACGGTTAAATCATTTGTGAAATTTTAATAATGGGTCCGCGTAGTCAGCAAGGGACAACCGGTCTCCACACTCTCCATGATCACACGGGACTGGAACACGCGCATGAGGCTCAACAGCGAGGATGGTGAGGATGATGGGAAGACCGCGTGATGCGATGGTTCCCTGGTGCCTGCTGCAGAGATTATTAGGCGTTCAGATGTGAGCAATAGAGTGGCAGGTGAGTTGTCCTTCATGACACGCTCCGAACCCCGGCGCGGGGTATGTAAAGATTGGACAGGAGAACATGAAGACGCAAGGCTGGGATAGCCTCTGACCCCGCATTGAGATAGAATTCTGCAAAGTCCCTGCGCACGTTCACATATGTTAAATAAAGGGTCCTTCTTAGATGGCTAACGCATGTCTTGATGGATTCCGGTTCTTTTAAATCTTCAGTCAACGAAGTCCCTAAGTTTTCATTACCTATCAATGGCGAACTCTTTTCCTGGTTTCTTCAAGCACAGTCCACTCAAGGACCCTAGGGAAATTCGCCTGGTGCAGCTACATGAAGAGGAAGAGTCCCAATTTTCAGATTCGTCTATCAAATGTTCAATCCACGAAGTAGCGAGGACTTCGATACAGAGCACTATCATATTCCTGGGGTGATCAGGACAAGACTACCCCAATTCTACTTAACGGCGAACGTTATTTCATTGGGAAGGATTTGGAAACTGCCCTTCGTCACTTTCGCACCAACAAATTTCATTGCTGCAACAACAAGTACTACTATTCAAATGATTCATTGCCCTCAGAAACAGTTGAAAAACACATCACTTCTCCCAATTTCCTATGGGTGGATATCCTCTGTATCAGCCAAGACGATACCATGGAAAAGAATTCACAGGTTTCTTTGATGAAAGAAATATATCACCGAGCTGAAGAAGTTGTCATCTGGTTAGGCGAGGAAGGGTGCGAAACTATCCCAGCACTCCGTTTACTCTACGGACTGGCTGAGATCTGGCACCTAGAAGTCGATCCAGCGAAGCCCTTGATTTCACACGTCGTGAAAAACGAAGACTTCAGGATTTATTGGTCGGCTCTTGGGAAGTTTCTGGCACGGCCATGGTGGAGCCGTGTCTGGATTGTTCAGGAAGTTGTTTTGGCCCGACGAGCAATTCTCGTATGTGGTCATTGGTGCGCCGAGTGGGATGATGTTGCGAAGGCCACAGCGTTTTTCAATGAATGTCTTGATTGCATGGATGAAATCATAGAGGCCGACCTGTTTCACCAGCCCAAGGAGTTGGAGACTTTCCGGACTCAGGCAGGTAAATTCAAAGAGCTGAAGCTTCTAAAGCATTTCCACGAGCATCGTCAAATTTCACAGACGGATTTTCAAGCGCTCTTGGTGCTGTCAAAGAACAGATACACATCAGAACCAAGGGATAAGGTCTACGGACTTCTAGGCTTGATGAAAGATCTATCGAGGAAGACCTTGCTGAAAGCGGACTACTCATTAACCCCTTGTGAACTTTACATGCAGGTCTGCCAGGTCTTATATGAACAGACCAAATCACTATGCTTCCTAAGCATGGTAGAGAGGAATCGTCTACAAAATCAAAACCGCAAATTTGACCTACCTACGTGGTGTCCTGACTGGACGATTCGTACCGATATGGATCCACTATTTAGGGATGGGTCACATCCTCCCCGGTGGTCACCATCGAATCCCAACTCAAGAAAGTTTACAGAGGGATTTTCGTTTACAGGAGATTCCAATGCGCAGTGCGCATTTCATCTGCCTGCCAAAAGGTTAATGGTCGAGGGATTCATAGTTGATAATATAACGACGATCGAAAAACGGTGGAAAGACCTCATTCCAGATTTTTCTGCGGATGGGTTTACAAGGTATGGCAAGAGAATTTGCTGGCACCCGCCGAGTCCGCTGCAGGAGTTTGAGTCTATTGCGTTCTGGTTGAGATGGCTGAAGCCCGAGCCTTGCATCGAGAGCCGAATAGTCTCCGCCATCAAGGGAACTAAGCCATTGAACGAAAATCATCCTTTTATGAAGATGAGTGTCTTTGAAACAGAAATGTATCGCTACTATGGAACAACAGATGCATTAATAGAGCCGGGCGATAGCATCTGTGCTCTGTTCGGAGGGAACCTTCCATATATCCTCCGGAAAAGTAAAGATTCGTGGGTTCTTGTGGGACAATGGTGAGCGTTGTATGCGCTTTGCGTGATTTCACGATTCTGATTGTGGACAGCATAATCCTCCGAATGATGGAGGGGCAAATAATGGCAAAACTGGATCATGGAGCCGTGACCGTCCAGGAATTTGTATTGACTTGAAATTAGGCTCTGTATTGAGACGTGATGACACACAGAAGAAGTGAAGGAAGAAGGCAGGCGGTGGGGCCCATCAATTGCAGAAGGAAACAATGTCAATGCAATCATTAAGTATCAAGGGGTGGTGATCTGTGGATTTGGATGTTTTTGTTGCGAAAATTCCGGCCCTATCTCACTCTCATGATGACATGTTGTGCCGGACATCAAAGATCCCGTGTGACCAGCAAGAATCAAGCGAGCAACTTGGGCTGGCCTGGCCTAGCCTGGCACTAGTATCCCACACTATGCATAACATACAGCCTTTCCCTTTCTAGATTTTTATCGTTTTGCACTTTTGGGCGTATGTACAAGGTAACTTTTCTATGTTTGTAGAGCAAGATGGGAACCAGTTTCTTGGGTATATAGACAACATATTTTCTCAATTCTCTGAATGATACCAAACTTTGCATGTTCATATCCGCTACACTTAATATTTCTGTGTCTCAATATCAATGTATGTATTCACCTTGAGTGTGGTGGATAAAACGCTGATCCTTTTTACGATGTTTAGCCCACAGAGATGTATACTTTCATCTTATGTTCAGTGCTGCGAGTGCAAGACTTGCAGTCAGAAAGTGCCTGTTGTCCCAGATGCACCCTGGGCGTCTTTGTCCAGACTCTTAGCATTTTCTATCTCAATCAGGATTCCTATCCAAGTCCTTACACTCTGCCCCAAATATAGCAAAGAGATTGAGCCAAAAGAATGAGATCGTTACCGATGATGACCAAATGGACATCATTTACCGTGGAAGGGCTGAGATCAACAGGCAGGGTTAGTTCATAAAACAAGTTTAGTAGTAATGGATATTTCTGATATCCAAGTAGATAGAGTAGATTTATGGATTATTAAAATAACCTTGTAAGTCACAAACTGTATCACTCTTCCGTTTCCTCCCCTTCCTCCTTGTTTTCCACTATAATTGGGTGTAACCTATTACTGATGCTCCAAATTCTCTTGAAGTAAAATTCTGTCGCCACCTGGCGGCAGTGCGGTTCAAATATATTTCGCCTTGGAAAATTGTAGTCCCCTTCTTCGTTTCAAACTATGACCCGGATCATTCCCATCTTGCCTTCAGGTGATATGAAGACCAGGGATGGCATCCACGATTTATAATCCTCTCGAATCCAAAGGAAGCAAAACTCGCTTTCCCGACGCACCGTGCAAGCACCGTGATGTCTATCAGATGTAACGTCAGCAGCTCCTGATTCGTTTGAGTCGTCGGCTTCACCGTCGAGTTCGCTGTCGATTTCGCCGTCGGTTTCGCCGTCGGCTTCGTCGTTGGTTTCGTCGGTCTGGTTCTCTGATACCCAAATAAAGATGTCAATTCGATCGTCGCAGAGCCTCTTTGCCACAGCTATAAGACCATGCTGCGTCGTATCAGAGTAAATGGCCGCCTCACGATAAGGTCTCTCAGCTCCTGGAAGAGACAGTGGCACATCTTCGTAGTATTCAAAGGCTCCTGGCATCGGACATGCTGTGTCTCGGACGTTTGACGTATCGCCTGTAAGGATGTCTATAGATGAGGACGAGAACAAAACCATGAGGAGACATGAGAGTCGATACCTGGGGTATTTCCTAAGAGACTTAGAGCTTCAAAATTTATTTCCCATTCTGATTTATCGCCGTTCTCCGACACGGTCATAGTCTCCCCGGTGTGTCCGACGAAGCTGAGTATCAGTGACTTTCCTTTGCGCACCAGGCTAAGATTCGAAGTATCCGACACCTGTAAATGATAGGACTGCAGTTCCCCCGATATCCAGGTGGAGTTTGAGGCTTCCAAAATGTGTTGACATAGCTCAGAGTCGTCATTCACATAGATCAAGTACAGCTATTCGTCAAACTGTCGAAGAGCGACCCACATTTTCAGAAGTCGACTGGGCTGATGCCGACGGGGTCCGCTTCTTTCCGCAGGCGATGCGTTCCTTGAAAAGGAATTCGCTGTTCCAAGCCTGGGAATCGAGTGAATCCTCGAACCCACCGCACCTGATCCATCCATCTGGGTCCTGAAAGAACAAAAGCGTAACCGCGAATTCATTGTTATTGGCCAAAGTTAGTCTCAGCGATGCAAAAGCTGTATCTTCTGCATAGAACTCGCTTCGATAAGCTGTCGGCAGCAGCGGATTTTTCCCAAGACGGACTTCGAATGTTGTGAATATCTCCCGCACCCAACTCATTCCAGCAAGATCCCCGGTGACTTCGTGAATCAGTCGAAGTTGAGCATGCTGACGTGTAATTAGTTCTCTCTGATCATGTGTACTCTAAGTTCTCACACCATAGACACTCACCTCTGCAACTTCCCAGAGACTAGGAGATTCAAGCGATTTCTCCCATTCGGCCAATCTATCAACTTGAAGCAGCGTATGTTATGGCATAGAGTACATATGCAGCTCCCTACGGGGTAAACCTACTCTAGGAACCATCCGGCCTTTCCTCCAACCCTGGTGAAGTCTGTCATTTGGTTACTCAAGCTGGAGTGAACTTCCGACAGTGATGCATCTTCCCCAGAATATGATCCCGATACCTTTATTATCGGAAAACTGGCACTTATGGATGCCTTTAATCTCGAGGACTTTATCTCGTGGTTGTCACCGGCGATTCCACTCGTTGCTTGGCTCCAGCGGAGAGCTCCGCCCAGGACTACCTCTGATGCAAAAACATGCCCTAAGTCTATTGTTCAGCAGGGTTGAATTTTGCAGAAATGCGCATCACCAGGCACATACCGTATTTTGCGTAAAACTGTGCAACTAAATCGGCACTGGGTTCTTCCTTTATTAGGAGCAGATCATTGAGGCATTCCCTTGATACTTCCATCCATTCGCCATTTAGGATTACCTTGAGCTTGGGGCACTTAGAGGAGAAAAGGCTCTGAGAATAGATTCTAACTGGTCATAAAGCTGAGAGTCACATCCTACTTACCTCATAAGTAACCAGGATTCGCTCCGCGGTTTCGAGAAGGGACGTCCTGACTCCTGAGCCATTATCATATGAGGCCTTGCCCGAGACTGCCGCGAGGTGGCGCAGAAGACTCTCTAAGCTTGATGCGAGACCACCCGATGAGCCATTCGAATCCTGATTGGAGAAATCAACCAGGCAAGCGCAGGCGATGTACGGAGGCAATTCTCTCAATGTGGAAGAAAAATATTCTAGCAGTATAGGAGTATCATGAGCCCCTGGTAAGAGTCTCGCCAAGCGGATCTTTGGGTTTTGTGTACCCTGGTCCGATGACGATTCCATACTTCGTGTAGTACCAGGTGCCTTGTAGACCTTCGTAAAATGGAAATCTTGAAGGATGAGATCAAAGGACTGAAGGTAGAGAAACCAGTCGTAGCTGATAACGAAGGTGAAGTCACGGCAAATGCAAGTTGTAGAAGCACATGGCCACAAGATGCGGTGGAATGATATATCAGGTTTTGTCTACGTGGCCGCGATGGCTTGCCGTAGCCAGCTGCGCACGCCAAGTTGGATTTTACGATTGGTTGATGGCGTGGCTGTGTCAACCAGAATATACGCTATCATTCCTATTATGCTAGAAATGGTCGTCTAGACACCTTTTTGGCGTAGTGGTTTGATGGCTGAGAGGCTGAGAGGCTGAGAGGCTGACACGCGGGGAACCCAAAGGTGCATAGAGATTTATGCAGGGCAACCCGAAGGAGGGGCTCAGCAGCCTCAGGCCCTCAGCTGATTAGATGCGGTAGAGGGATCCATCGCTCTCGGCCCTCATATGTTGTCGATTGCTTCTGCCTAGGTCTGCTTATATATCTTTGACACTCTCTAAAGTCTACCCAAAGTCGAAGGAGCTTATTGCCGAGATATTCACCAGCTGTGTCATGCTGCTTCATTTTCGATCCACGTGTGGCAACGCTCACAAAGATCGCCATCATGTATATCTACGATATCTTGAAAACAACAGCGGCTCGCGGCCGCGGTAGGCACGAACTCATGCTCAGGTCCGGAGACCGCTCTGCTATATCCGGGGCAGAGAACCCCAGGGTGTCCTTGAGCAGAGCTCTATCCAAGGAGCTGAGTTGGAGACCCGAGACATGTCCTTCCGACAAGCCGCTGGCTCCCATTAACAGGCACCTCTGCCGCGCCTGCCGGCGTATTCTTCAGGGGACTGGAACGGAAGCCATCAACATTTTTAGGCCAAATAAAGATGGCGTATTCTTTGAGCACTTGGATGGCTATTTCCTTGAGAGGAGTGCCCGCAGCGGCTGCGACATGTGTACGGTTGTTTGGAACAGCCATCGACCCTCAAGGGAAATGCTGGCAAAGTGTGAAGAGATTCCATTACGGTTCGACTACGGCCGTTTCTTGCGGCCGGATACTCAATACGCCGTCCAGTTCTATCCCTTCGCACTGCTAGAATTGAGAGGACAGATGATGCCAATGGTGATGCCGACAATCACTCTGACACTCGACGGCGTGGCAGAGGGCCTGCCGTGCTCGACGACAGGCCTGCAGTTTACAGACGACAACCTGCGGGCATGCAAGCCTCAACAAGGCGAGACGTCCACAGGCTCTCCTGAGTCCATGTCGCAGATTTCTAAGTGGCTGGAGCGCTGCAAGTGCTGCACCTCCCGAAGCTTGTCTACACAGAGGGGTTTTGTCCCTGATCGCCTGGTTGATGTCGATGCGTCATATCCTGACGAGATTCACGTCGTCGACGGAAGCGAGGTCGCGGAATCCTCTCCTTACATCACCCTAAGCCACTGTTGGGGTAACATAGCAGAGATTCAAGATTTAACTTGCCGGCTTGTGGTTTCCCGGATCCACGAATTCAAGAAAGGAATCTCCCTGCAGAAACTGCCGAAGACCTTTATCGATGCAGTTGCAGTCGTCCGGTCGCTGGGAATACAGTACATATGGATCGACTCTCTCTGCATCATGCAAGACTCGGAAGAGGACTGGCACCGCAACGCAGCGGTAATGTGGAAAGTGTATGCTTCGTCATTCTTGACACTAGCGGCAACAGCCTCGCGCAACTCTACCGAAGGCCTATTTCGCACAAGACCAGCGGCTACACTATCTCCAGGTATTGTTGAGGTGCCAGAGGGACACCCCCAGCTTGCCCCTGGCCGGTATAGTTGCTATGACGATGAGGAATGGCTTGCGGCCATCGACCACGCACCACTTAACAAGCGTGCTTGGGTTTTCCAGGAACGGCTCCTGTCGCCCAGAATTGTGCATTTTGCAGAGAACCAGCTCTACTTTGAGTGCTATGAGTTCACGGCATCAGAGAGGTTTGCGGATAGTATTCCGAAAAGGCTATGTACATCGTCTCGTCGAGATATACTACCGCAGACTCTGGGTGATCCTGCCACAAAGAATCTGATCCCAATTTGGGACAGAATTGTCTCCACGTACACCGCACTGGCGTTGACGTACGACTCGGACAAGATGGTGGCCGTATCGGCCATTGCAAGCCACCTCTCGGACCTGATTCCGAACTGTGGACGCTACCTCGCGGGGCTCTGGGAGCACAGCCTGGTAGGGCAACTCTGCTGGAGCACACCTGCTAACGCCTCTAGAGCCAGGGCATATCGGGCGCCTTCGTGGTCCTGGGTGTCCGTAGACGGCGATGTGTCACCGCATTTTTTCGATCTCACAAACGCTCCTCGACACAGAGCAAGAGCTATCGCGTCTGTTATTGAGGCCACCACTACTCATCCTTATAGCCCATTTGTATCATTCACAAGCGGTATCCTGAGAGTCTCGGCGCCCCTCTATCGGATTACGCTGGCTAAGCCAAAGGATACAAAGCCTCCCGTGAGACAGTCGGAAGACAAAAAGGAGCTAATCGACATAATCTCAAAGTCCCAACCTGGTTACACCGGCACGAGCCTTCGGTCGGTGGGCCTCTCGACCGGCGGTCTGCCTACTGGGTTGTCAGGGATGCAGCGGTTGGAAATGGACCCCACAGAAAATCTCATGGTAACCCACAACAGCAACGTCACTGTCGGCCCGGAGAAATTGCCGGAATCGCCCTTGCGAAGCTTTGAGATGGGACCTGAGGGGGTGTACTTTGGTTCCTTGTTGAAGATATCGCCGCGAGACGCGAGAATCCGTGCCGTATTCGTTGCCATGATCCCATGCATATGCGGGTAGATCTTTTAGCAATCTTGGGGCCCGGCAGCTGAAGGCGCGATGGTAATCCCCAAGGTTGACTTCGTGAGCACCTAGATGCTGCCACATGCAACCCATGGCCGAAGATGCGGCATACACGTCAGGGATACCCGCTTCAAGATGGAGAAATATGGGATATCAGTGCCGATAGCCAGCTTCATCGTTTGCAACACTGGACCCTTCAGGGCATGGTGCGGTCCTACCTCAATGCCAATATCGAATCGTGAACCATTGACCGCGTGCTGGATGGCCTGAGAAAAGAGCACGGGTTGTAGCATGTTCTCTACCCAGTACTGCCCAGCAAGCGAGGATGTCATTTTGTCATCCACGGAAATCGTGGCACCTGTAACGCTGGAGATCCACACACAGTCCGTCTTTGGTTGACGGACTTGAATTCTGCAGCCCTCCAGAGATGCCAGATACGCCTGCGCACAAGACCGCATGTGGTGCGAATGATACGCAACATCCACCTTCAGAATCCTGGCAAACGTTCTGGTCTCCTCAAAGGCCTTTTTTGCTTCATGGATTGCATCCAGATCTCCCGACAAGGTCACGCTCGTCGGAGCATTGCTAGCGGCCACGACCAGCCGCCGGGAAAATGAAGGCTGGGCGCAGAATGCCCTCGCATCATCATACGAGATGCCAACAGCTATCATGCCGCCGTTCTGCCGCGAGAACTTTGCCGATTTTGCATGCATCCCACGGTAATAGGCGATCTTCATTGCGTCCTCGGCAGATAGGATGCCTGCCGCGTACACCGCCGCAATTTCCCCGGACGAATGGCCCACCACGGCATTCAGATGGATCCCTGCTGCATGGAGTAGATCATAGACCCCAATCTCAATAGCAGTAGTCAGGCGTTGGCTTAGCGCGGCGTCTGACAGTCGTGACGACGTTTCGTCAGCCAGAAGTTCATCGACCAAGGACCAGGAGGGTCCGTCGGGGAGGCAAGTCATGGCCTGCTGGCAGCGATTGATTGATTCACGGGAGGTCTGACATGAGTGAATGAGGTCTGCTCCCATATTTGCCCATTGTGCGCCTTGTCCAGTGAATACACCCAAGATATTTCCTGACTCGTTTGGGCTTCTGCGAATGCGTATACCGAAGCCAATGTCTGGGCTGGCCTCCGACGCTTGGACTGTGGTATTCATGCATTTTAATAGCTCCTCCCGGGTAGAGCCTGTGAAGGAGATTTTGAATGGTAACACACTTCTCTTGGTGCTCAGCGTCCATGCAAGGTCATTGAGGTCCAATGAAGGGTGGGCGTTGATAAATGCGGCCACATTCTTCACGTTCAACAGGAGTGATTCTGCTGTATTCGCCGAGAAGACGAGGGGTCCAATCACAATGTTCCCAGCGGAACCCGGAGCATAATTTGAAGGAGTTGGAGAAGGGAAACTCTCGATGACGGCGTGAGCGTTGGTCCCTCCAAAGCCGAATGAATTGATGCTCGCACGCAATGGGTCTCCTGGGGTCGCATACGGCCACGGAATAGCTTGCGTCGGAACTTTTAAATGATCGTAGAAGCGGAGAATGCTTGGGTTGAGTTTGCAAAAGAGCATATTGGGAGCGATGGTTCGATGTTTAATGCACAGGACCGCCTTGAGAAGACCGGACAGACCAGCGCAGCCCTCAAGATGCCCAACAACCGTCTTTACCAATCCCACATATAGCCTCTCTTCAGGGGGGAACGTGCTGCCTTCGGGGAAGAAAGTGCATTGAATGGCCTCAGCTTCCACCGGGTCGCCGGCCTGTGTCCCTGTCCCATGACATTCAAAATACTGGCAGCAATCCCGGACGGGGTCTAGCTCGCAGCTTTCATATACCTGTTTGATTAAGGCAGCCTGCGCCTCTGGGTTTGGCATCATGATCCCAGCGGAGCGGCCATCAGAGTTGACCCCCGTGCCCCGGATAATGCATTCGATATCATCACCATCAGCCAAAGCCTGACTCAGTGGCTTCAGAATGACTGACGCACATCCCTCCCCACGCGCATAACCGTCTGCATCTGCATCCCACATCCGACAGCGGGACGTGGGAGAGAGCATGTGGATTTTGGACTCGCTGACATAGGTGCCAGCATCCAGTAGGAGGTTGACGCCTGCCACAATCGCGATGGTTGCTTCCCCACTGCGCAAGCTCTGGACCGCCTGGTGGAGTGCAACCAGTGAAATGGAGCATCCCGTGTTGATCGTCATCGATGGGCCCTTTAGATCAAAGCAATATGAGATTCGGTTGGAGAGGATGCTGGGAGCTGTTCCTGTGGCATGCCACCTGCCAATGTTGTCGAGATCGCGGGTCTGGATATCATGGTAGTTGGAGGTCATGACGCCGACAAAGACGGCGGTGGGAGAGCCACGCAGTTGCTCCAGTGTGTATCCCGCCGCCTCGAGGGCTTCATAGGTCGTCTCAAGTAGTATTCGCTGCTGCGGGTCCATCCCATCCGCTTCGGCCGGGTTGATATTGAAGAAAGAGGCATCGAAGTGGCGGGTGTTTCCTTCCAGGAGATAAGATTGATTGGGAACATCGGTGCTGCCATGGTGCTCGCCATTGGGATTGTAAAAGCTCGACAGATCCAATTGATAGGGCTTGCACTCCTTCAACACGTCGCGTGGATGTTGCAGAAGCTCCCAGAACCTTGAAGGAGAAGTGGCACCGCCAGGAAGTCGGCAGGCGGTGCCGATAATAGCAATGGGTTCTCTCATTGTGTTTTCCTTGCTATGAGAAGTCATCGCAGCTGATTGATATAGGTATCAATACAAATTTATAACAATAAATGGGCTTTGTCATTGAGGAAACAGGCTGACTGGCATACAATTGAGGTGCTTCCCTACTGCAATCATCCTCGTGATAACTCATATACCTCATGTTGTGCTTATGGTCAGATCATCAGAGCATCATTGTTCTGGCATGAACACATTTGCCTAGGTAGGATCCTCTGTCGATACAAGATTGGTCACTGACAACATACTCTCAACGTCTAGATGCTACCCCGAAAATCCCTTACATCTGGTTCGTGTCGGAAAACTCGGACTTGTATGATCTACAGTCGTTCCAATGGCTCATTATGCTGACGGGCTCAAAATTGGCACATTCCTGAGACCGCATACAAAGTGGTCCCAAGTTGCCAGCGAATGAGTTTTCACCAGTAAGCAATCTAAATTCTTATGACAGAACCTGTGCATGAAGTCATATAAACCCCTTCGGGCAGATTAGCCCTAGATGTGCTGCTGCCAAGTCCCTCAAACTCAAGATTATCTGATAGTGGAAAGTTAAGACAGTTACAAATTAGCTTTGCACTCGTCTGTCTTATGCTTATCTCTGTAGCTGCTAGCCAGCAAGAATCCTACTAAATTTGAATATAGCGGTACTATAACGCTGTAAGATCCACCATTCCTAATGTCAGCAGGGCCATCCCTTGCGTCTGATTTCGCGAACCCTTGAATTCTGCCATAATACCATTAGTTGACCTTAGCTGTGGGGGCATCGAGACCGGGTGACTATATTTTGCATGAGCAGTGAGCAGCGGAGATCGCAGAATGAGGATGCATTCGAGTAACCTGCCTAAGGCCTGAGAGTGCGTTGGCTATGAATAGTCCTACATCGTCAACACTGGATATCAGCGCAGAATACGCCCGTTCATTCCATTCCATTGCGCCTAAAAGAACACTGGCAGTAAGCACAAGAAGACTAAGCACAAGAAGGCAGTGAAATGGAATCTGATCTCCTCCCTCTCCGAGTCCTCAGCAAGAGCTTCAATTTCACCAGCGCGGACGAGGCGAAATGGTGGCACAGCACCGCTCCCATGTTCGCTGCCCTCCTGGCCGGTGCCAAATATGATCTCAATGCGCAGTACCGCTTCCTCGTGTTGCACCGCGAGTTTGTCATCCCCACGCTGGGCCCCTATCCTACCAAGGGTAAGGACACAGACAACACCAAACGCTGGCACAGCACCTTGACCCGCTTCGGCCTCCCCTTCGAGCTAAGCTTCAATTACTCCAAGTCTCTCGTGCGGTTTGCCTTTGAGCCCCTGGGCCCGCTGACCGGCACCGCTGCTGACCCTTTCAACACAAAAGCCATCCGCCCGACGCTGCAGCGGCTCGCCGCCGTCGTGCCTCGTCTGGACCTGGAGTGGTTCGACCATTTCAGACAGGAACTCGTCGTCTCGGACGAGGATGTGGCGATTCTCAACGACCAAAAAACCACAATCCCTGTCTTCCGCACGCAGAATAAACTGGCGGCTGATCTAGCCGCAAATGGCGACATCCTCCTCAAGACATACATCTACCCGCGCATCAAGGCCATGGCGACGGGTGTCCCAAAGGAAAAGCTCATGTTCGACGCCATCCGCAAGGTGGACAGGGACGGATGCCTAGAGCCGGCCGTGGCGACACTTGAGGCGTTCATGGCTGCGCATTCCTCGTCGCTCATTGCGCACTTTCTCTCGTGTGATCTTGTCAAGCCATGCGAGTGGCGGATCAAGCTGTATTGCTTCGAGACGCAGCTTGGCTTCGAGTCCATGGCGGCTATCTGGACGCTTGATGGCCGTCGCACCGATGAGGAGACGATGGTTGGTTTGGAGTTGCTCCGCGAGCTTTGGGGCTTGATACCCGTCACCGAGGGACGGTGTGCACTGCCGGATTGTTTCCACGAGTTGGGAACGTCGCCGGAGGAACAGCTTCCTTTCATTATCAACTTTACCTTGTCGCCGGGGAAGCCTTTGCCTGAGCCGCAGATCTACTTTCCCGTGTTTGGGAAGAATGATCGCGTGGTGGCAGAGGGCCTGGCTACGTTCTTTAATCGCGTGGGATGGAAGGGCTCGGCTGAGAATTATGTAAATGATCTGGCTTCGTACTAGTAAGTTCTTTTTGCTTTCACTGGAAAGTTATCAAGCGATGAAGCTGACAGCTACAGTCCTGACGGGAGCCTGGAGGAGATGAACCATATTCAGGCGTGGATCTCGTTTGCCTCCAAGAACAAGAACCCGTCCATGAGTGTGTATTTGCATACATTTGAGGCAATGAAGACCATGTTGCAGGATGATGGTGCGATACTGTCCTTCAAGAACTAGTGTATCTGCAATGATTCGCAGTCAGATAGTTACTGATTAATTCATTTATAATTTAAGATGATTACCTTCTAGACACCTTCAGTGCAATTGACACAGAGCCGACATTCTATCAATGCTCTAGTACTACATCTTTCCACCATCAAGCAGCTACCGCACATATCGACAAAACAGATCATCCTATAATCCGATCCACTACTCCATCCGTAAACCCCCACAGCAGAGTGGAATAATCCGAGCACCACGCTGCCCCCGTGTAAAACGTGCTCCTCTGCCCCTGCAGCTCATACAAGCGCTCATAGAAGCCCTGCCGGATCTCATCAGGCGTCACCATCATGGTAACAGGCGTGTGACACCCCCATCTAACGATCTCCGGCCTCTGTGTGGGGTACGTGCCCTCCGCCGCCATCCGCTCAAAAGTGTCATAGAGGAGCGCCTTCGCATCATCCGGAGAAAACTGCTCATTGCCGACGAGCTTGATGGTGCGGTATCCCGGGACGCGCTGCGCGTCGATACGCCAGATAAAGGGCTCTTCTGGGATGGAGTACGGGTTTTCCGTCTTGTCGGGGTCGATATTGACGATGTTGGTGGTATCTGGGAGGCCGGTTTCGTTGATGATTAGAGCGTAGTAGGACTGGTATTTCCATTTGGAGAATAGGTTGGTCTCTTCAAAAGTCAGGTCGAACCCGGTGAGGTGGTGGAGGGTCGGTGGGATGGTGACAAGCATGTTTTTGGCTTGGATCAAGGTCTTTCTGCCGTTGGAGGACAGGACGAGCATCTCCACACCGTTGGAGGACTGGGTGACATTCTCTGCCATGGTTTGGTAGAGCACGTCGGGCGCGAGAATGGTTCGGGCTCGCGTGTACAGGTCTGCGATGCCGTTCACGGGCCGGAGATAGCCCTCTCGTAAAGCGGCGGCGTGAGGGACTCCAATGTACTGGATAACATATAAAGTGGGTAGTTTGAGGCTGTTACCGGAGCCGTGCGAGAAAACAGCCTGCACCGAGTTCTCGAGGTGGTATTTCTCGACAAACTCGCCAAAGGTGATGAGGAGATCTTCTGGGATGGGGTCGGGAAACCGGTAGACCCCGTCCTTGAGCGTGTTAAACTGGGAAATGGCGTCGACCCACGCTTACATTGCGTCGGTCTGGTTGACCGTATCGCCGGGGTCTTGAGCTGGCTGACCGGTTCGCAGGTTGACATATTCATCCTGCAAAGAGGCAGGTACCCGTACCTCGTATGGGACATTGAGGCGGGCCAGGTAGTCGAGGGTGATATTGGTGTTGAAGAAGCCCTCGACTCCGTAATTGATGGGTCGGCCGTCGGCAGTATAGAAGGTCTCTCCGTGTCCGCCGAAGTAATCGTTACGTTCGACGATGATCACCGATTTGCCTAGATCTTTCAAGCGCACAGCAGCATATGTTCCACTACTGCCACCTCCCAGGATGACCGTGTCGCGAGTGATCACGTCAGGCGTAGCATGAGCGAGACCAGCGTTGACAACGGCGCAGCTGAACAGCCCAAAGAGGCTATTGGAGCTGGAAATCATTTCTTTACAGATTGCCAGGAATAGTACAATGAGATTGACTCGGCCTCAGAGGAGCAAGAACAGTCTCCTGGTGTCTATCGGTCAGTATGGTTTTATAGGTCAGAGGCACTCTGGAGCTATTAGAACTCCGGGCACATTGATCACCATTCTCACACACTTTCTTGCATACATGTTCTTGACCGAGGGAAGGATCCATAATCTCTACAATTAGTGATATAAGATCTACACTGCTGCTATAGTTGGGTATAACCTCATTATTTCATTAATATGTATATTCATAATAGAACATATAGTTCCCTACCTGTTTGCTGCAATGTGACTATAAAAATTATGTAACCTTGGGTAGAAATATAAATCAATATCCAGAAATAGCCGAATATCATCATTTCACAACTTAATATTCTGTGGGGGATTTCTGTAGGATTATTTTTATGCATAATATCATGGAGAAAGGTCATCAAATGCAATAGTTTTATTTCCTCATTGAGATAAAGAACCACCAACGGACTCAAAAAGCAAAAAGAGATCCAGACCAAGTAAGCATGCATAGGACGAGTCACAAAAGCCAGGCTCACTATAACGACAAAGAACGTTACACCAAATACTACAAATCCTGTCATGCCCAAAAGCCATCAGCTCTTGCGGATGTTCACTTTCCGAGGAGGAATGTAGGGGGGAGGAAGTAAGGACGGACTTAACAGACAATGAAGCAAAAGATGTCCAAAACAGCGAAGAAACAGAAAAAGGAAAAGAAACAGTGGCGTCAACTCTGAGATTTGTTCCTCTCTCATACGCGCAAGGGAGATGCACCAAGTCAACGCCGCCATCACACACCCATATAAACCGTACGATGGATACTCCAGATACTACCAGTACTTCTCCAACTCATCACGATCCCCCTCATACCTCTAAAGATGCTATCTCATACGGTCGGAGGAATCACTCAAACTGAGCATCTTTCCCAGATGGACATGGAAGAAGCCGCCATAATCGACTGGGACGGTCCATACGATCCCGCTCGCCCCATCAACTGGTCCAAACAGAAGAAATGGCGGAACATCTTTAGTATCGCCTTTCTCACTTTCCTTACTCCCCTTACTTCGTCCATCGTGGCGCCAGCCGTGCATCTGATGATGGAAACGTTTCACTCAACCAACAAAGAGCTAGGGTCGTTCGTGGTCTCTATCTACCTGGTCGGATTCGCCATCGGACCGTTGGTTCTTGCGCCTCTTTCTGAGATCTACGGCCGGTTGCGTGTCTACCAGATCTCGACGGCTGTCTTCATCATCTGGAACGTCGCTTGTGCGCTGGCTCCGAACCTGGGGGCTCTGCTGGTCTTCCGCCTGTGTGCAGGGATTTCAGGGAGCCCGTCAGGTCAGCCCCAAGCAGAACATGATTCAAGCGATCGTCCGGCCGTTGAAACTCCTTGTTCGTTCGCCGATTGTTGCTCTGTTCTCCATCTACATGGGTGAGCATTATATTCTTAGTCGCTAACTGCGACGTGTCCTAGGCGTCGTGTTCGGATATCTCTACTTACTCTTCACTACGATCCCCGCCGTATACCGCGATGTGTACCACTTCAGCGAGGGTTCCTGGTCTTGTTTACATCGGAGTTGGCGTGGGTGCTCTCATTGGTATGGTCGCCTTTGGTGCTCTTTCCGATAGGATTCTACTCCGTCTCACTGCGAGGAACAATGGGACGTCCGAGCCTGAGTTTCGACTTCCCCCGCTGATTCCCGGAAGTCTGTTGCTTCCCATCGGCTTCTTCTGGTATGGATGGTCCGCCGACAAGCATCTGCATTGGATGATGCCGGTTGTCGGTATTGGCTGGATAGGCTGCGGGATGACCGCGACAATTCTCCCCATTCAGGCGTACTTGATAGATGCATACCGTGAGTATGCAGCTTCAGCTATAGCAGCGATCACAGTTTTTCGGTCCTTGGTTGGCGCCTTTTTACCTCTGGCAGGACCGGCCATGTATGCCTCGTTGGGCCTGGGATGGGGAAATTCCGTACTGGGGTTCATTGGTCTGGGATTGCTTCCTGTGCCTGCGATTTTCTATCTCTATGGCAAAGCCATTCGAACGAGTCCACGGTTTAGAGTTTCTCTTTGATTCAATTTCCTTGTTCAGCATTCGCGATATCTTGATGTTTCTTCCCTCTTTCTTTTCTCTGTTGCACTAATCAATTTCCTGGTGTCAATCTGTGCAATGGCCTCAGAGCATACCACCAATATATGTTACAAGTATGATGATGGATGATCAATGTTGGACATTGCTGCACGGTGTGGTAATTGTCCTCCAAGGCTGGAGTAGTGCTTGCAATTCTAAGGAATGATTTATACCTGATTTAAACATGTATACAGGGAAGCAGTCGTTCTGCTGGTCCAAGGTGGATCTACTGCTGGGTTTTCTACCTCGTTTTTCAGATATATATAATTACAGATGTTCGCCCCTGTTGTCAATATTCCGGAATCACTTTCATTCAGTTCCTTGTTTCTCTCTCCCTGATGCCAATTCTCAATTCTGAATCCATTCAAAGTAAGGCATACACACGCAGGGACTAGATGTAGGCTGACGTGAGATGGAAGCGGAACCAAAACGACCGGACCGAGGTACTGCATTGTACTGTAAATCCATAGAATTATAGCCAATGGTCAATATCCAGGAGGTCATCTATTTTGTCGGGAGCATCATTGCTCTCAGAAGCCTCTCTTGCGCTTACTTGAGGAGTTCTCCTGCCGGAATGCAATACAGGTTATGATCATCAGTCACCATGACCAAGGTCTCTATCCTCCTCGCACTTTTCAACCTCATCCCCTCCATACTGGCAATATGCTCCACCCAGTCCCCTTTCTACCCACCTCCGTCTTACAACCGTCAGTCCTCCGAGATATGGGAGGCCCTCGGCAGAGTGGAAGCCTCACTCTCGAATTTAGTCCGCAACTCCAACAACCTCAATACATCGTCCTATTCAATTGAAGTCACCTCATCACAGTCCACCTTGTGGTCGACGTTCCATACAGCAAAGGATAAAAATCTCCCACGACCCGGAGCCGAGAGGGTTGACGAGACAAGTCGGTATCGTATCGCAAGTATCACCAAGGTCTTCACCGTGCTGGGGATCCTCCAACAACATGCCGCGGGGAACCTCTCCCTCGAGGACACGGTGGACAAATACATCCCTCAACTCCGCGACTCTCATCAAAGAAACGGAAGTACTGGTAGTATCCAGTGGAACAAAATATCACTCCGATCCTTGGCAAGCCAACTCTCTGGCCTCCCCCGCGACTGGGTCCAGGGCGATCTCACGGACCCCGACCACGTCGACGCAACTACAAAATGCGATTCTGACAACAACTATAAGCCCTGCACCGCAGAGGAATTACTCGACAATTTAACAAGGAGACCTGCCTTGTTTGCGCCGAACACCAAGTCAACGTATTCCAACCTGGCATTCGAACTGCTCGGGCTCGTATTAGCAAACGTCACCGCCAGCCCATACGAAGAATACATAACAACCTCCATTCTCGATCGCCTGGGACTGTCTCAAACATCCTTTGCCAAACCACCAGACAGAGTATCCGTGCTCCCCAAGGGCAAGGCATGGTACTTTGACGTCGACGAGGGCGTGCAGAATCCCACTGGTGGATTATACGCCTCTTCGAAGGACATGTCCACTTTCCTCCGCTATATCCTCGGCAAGTACAAAGACATCGCGGATGCAAAGCTGAATTGGCTTCTACCTGTATCCTTCACGGCCGGAATGGGGAGTTTCTACGGCATGCCGTGGGAGATTTTCCGCACCGACAAAATCCTTCTCCCACACAATACTGCAGGTCGCAGAGGAGAGACAGGGAGGGCCAGGACAGTGACCTTCTTCACCAAAGGCGGTGGTCTCCCCGGGTACAGGAGTCTCATCCTCCTCGTGCCGGAATACGATTTGGGTATCACGATTCTCACCGCCGGAGACGAGACATTCCTGGATGCATTACTGGAAATGCTCACCGTCCCACTGATCCGTGCCGCTGATGAGCTTGCTGCACGGCAGGTTAGGGAGACATATGTGGCGACATATACTGCCCCTTCTACCAAGGAGCAAACGATCAACTCCACATTAGCACTAACTTACACGCCTACCCATGGCCTCGAGATCAGGGAGTGGATTTCGAATGCCACGGATGTGTTGGGTATTATTTCCAAGCACTTTCAGTCCCCTAAGGACGCAAAATTCCACGCTCAGTTGATTCCCGCCGGCATCTACAGAGGCGACGAGAAGCAAGTAGGAGAGGTATGGAGGATTGCGATCGTGGTGGATAGGGAGGTACCCCCGGAGCAAGTGCTAGGGCGATCAAGCGAAAGCGAGATCCATGCTGGCTTGTGGTCAGCTTCCACGTCCGTGTGGGATGAATTCTGTATCACTGATGTGGATAATCTAATGTATGCGGGAAAACCATTGAGCGAGGTTGTCTTTTGGGATAGGGACGAGAAGACTGCCATGTTTGGAAAGGTGGAATTGACGGCCTTTAGGATCAATTTGACGCGTGCGGACCAGAAGGAAGGGGGAGGGCTCAATGAGGGAAAGCTGATCAAGCAGGAACTTTAAGTCTGTGATGAAAACTGGAGTCAATGGATTCTTGGCTAGGACTATATCTTGCTGCCAGTGGGCATTCCATCATCTTAGCCTCCACACGTAACTCAATGGTTCTCCAAGTATTATGACGAGCCATTCAAGCACAACAATGGCACGAGTGCCTCATCGCGGCCAATAAATCACCATGGTGTCTCCATCCACTGCCTTTCAACTAGCTACTTTCTTGGCTCCTCAAATGGAGAGCTCAGTTTCACCCCGTTTGCTTCCTTTTGCGTGGTATATTCAAGACATCTAATCGCTTTCTAAATGACCGAAATCAACGGTCAAATAAGCTTACAGGCCGTTCATCACCAATGTCCGACATTACGAGACCCTCAACCTGGCCCCGGTGAAATGGAACGCCCGACTCCCCCATAATGAACTGATAGAGGGGTTTGGTGCCTTTTCCGAGATGTCCCATAGTGGGGGAACTGTCGAAGATGCTGTTACGAGGGATAACGAAGGAGTTGTGCATGACTTTCCTGAGATTGCTAGCCCAGATGTTGTACAGTACAGTTCCAGGATGCTGGCCTGGCCATTGTCTTCTTCAGCGCCAGAATCATGCCAATAACGCATCGGTGGCTCAACAGTGGCATTCGCCCCGTTTTCACATCGTTACTCGCGGTGGCATAGCAAGACCTCTCAGTCAGCCGACAGATAATCTGTCAACTCTTGCGGTGCTTGGTGGTTGATATTCTGTGCACCCATCAGCAACTTTGAAAGGTTCTTGCGGACAGGGTCTTCCACAGCCCTCTTAAACTTCCCCAGAAATTTCTTGTACTAGGCACAGTTCCCTCTGTTGATGCGGCGCCGCGCGGCCGCGCAGGTTCCAAAACGGCGTTGAAAGCTCATCCATAGTTATCGTAGTAGGAAATACTCGCACTCTCGGTTTGCCTGCCTATTGATCAGTCATACGATCCTTCGTAGTCCTTCACCTATGAGATCGATAAACTCTTCAACTCGCAGACAACGATCGAGGAGATCTACGAGAATCTCGTAGAGGATCTAGTTCCCTTCACATGGAATGGTGACATTGGAACTCTTTCACCTACAAACAAATGGATTCAAACGAAAGGCTCAAAGTCAGTCGGCTCTGGGAACTCGTTGCTAAGCCGTTTATCTTGGACCAAGACACAATTTAATGACTGGATTATGAAGAGCGTAAGTTCCTAACAGTCCCCGTTTTCCTTCATTCCTTATGCACCAAGAACCATATGCGGCGAAACACAGTCAAGTACTCACCCTATTGTGCCAGCTGTATTAGGCGGAAACATACTATCTGTGTCCTCTCGCCATTTTCGCTTAAAGAACCAACTGATGCCTGAAGCACGGGGCGATGTGTGCTCACCATAAGCTTGATTCTCGCCCATGGGGACATAGGTCTTGTATTTCTCACAGAGTTACCGCTGTCCTATACCAGATACTCGACAGGTCGCTTCATTAAATCTTGGAATGGCCCGGTGCGAGCTTTATGTTAGTCATGGTTCATTCCGCAGAAGGTTCAAGGCAGTAAGTCTGTTAGAGAAGGTGGTGACTATAGAAGACAGGCTGAATACTAATACCACCCCAGTGCTGGGGGGCGCCGGCCGGTTGCCCGGCTAGTGCCCCCCTGCTCCGAGGGGTTGTATATACTATTGTTAGAATCAGAGACAATATAAATTGGCTATTCCTTTAGAGAGAGGGTACTACGTGAATAATTAATAGCTTTTTCTAGAATATTACGCATCAAAGGCATGAGACTGGTTAATAATAAATAGATGTAGTGATCACTGATTAAAATATATGATCACCACAACCCACTGACTGGACCCACCACCAGGGGTCCTGTAGTTGAAAGCCTATTGAAACCTTGATGATTTCATTGGACACTTTCTAAAAGGATGGCAATAGAGCATTGCAGTTATTATAAGACAATAAGGATGCAGTTGGCTCTTTGTTGATAACTGCTTTGGGACTAGTACAGCGTAAAGACACCTTTGAAGGGAGGGAACAGCATAAGCTGAGGTCTGCTGTATTAGTAGTCAGAACAGCAGGGAGCAGGAAGGAAGACACTAAAGAGGGAAAAGTGGGAATTACTGGTTTTCACAGCGCAAACATGGAAACTGTGGTGGCTTATGAAACGATAACTACCAAGCGGCGGAACAAGATGTACTGGGTTCATTCTTAATAGAGGGGACAATACTGTAGCTGACTCTACAGTTCCCTGATGATGCAAAAGTTCAATGAGGAAGAATTACAGTTGTTCTTGCTGAAACTTCTATACTTGAAGAAAAGGAGACGATGAAGCATTTGCTCCTGAAGTCGATGCCGTCGAGTCGCATATGTCAAGGATATGTATACAGACCTCACACCGTCGAGCTTTGCACAGATGAATCCCTGCTGGAACATATATAAACATGATCAAAACTGCATCAGCTATCCAAAAAATGCAAATGTCATGGTGATTGAAATCCTGTCGGTGCAGCGCTTGTGTCGATGTCACATTTTGGCCATCTAGGGAGACATGATATTTGCGTATCAAAGATCGATCGAAGTTACCTCTAGCAACAGATCAATGGGAATATAGAATAATAGCAAATCAGAAACTCTTGTGGGCAACAAGGTATCAAGGCCTTTGTCATTTTGAATTGATATCACTTTATTTTACCCTTGTTTATGCGTCAATGGGCATGTCAGCAGCAAGGACTTCAGGACAATAGATAAATCACCATTCATTGTCACATAGAATGAAATTCAGGTGTTCTCCAGAAACAAGTAGATGATTTAAATACCATACCCCTATCTCCATACACATGCAGACGGTGCCCTTCCACTCTCAATATCTCATCCCGTGCAATTCTACCCTTACTCTCCGGAATCATGGCTTACCAACCAACTAGACAAGACAAGCAGGTCCAATTGAGCCTGAACCTGCCAGGCGAACCACCAACTTCGTTGAGCAGGCACTCAGGCTCCATGTCCGGGGATCGGCCTGGAACAGAGACCACATAAGGGCGCTCAGGGTCGTGCCCCTTGATGATTGTCCAATATCAAAAATATACGAAGCCCAGTACCTACCCCAAATGACCGACCCAGGCAGACATCTGTTCTTTATAACATTCCTGACATTCTACATCTCTAATACCGAAGGCAGCATTTCGCCAACTGAAAGAATTGCTCCTCGCGCCCACAGCCGAGCAGTTACGCCAGTGGTCCTTGAACAACCGGGCGTTCCAGTTGAATATCTTCAACGGCGTTTTTAGCGCTTTATCCGGCTCTATGACGACTGCGAACCTCTCCATCCCAGGTAGCACCCGTCCGGCGAGTCCCGGGGAACCGGAATCACCGTCTTCGGATGAAGACGGTCCAGAATCTGCCCCCCGGGAGGCAATCCTGGGTTTGCTCACACGGATAGGAATAAGGCTCAATCCACTCCCAACTCTCGGAGCGCGCTACTCCATCGCAGCGTAAGACCCAACTTCGACAGACGAACTGTTGATACTGACTTATGCAGCATCCGTCAGGACATGCGGTTAAAACTAGAGCTCGGCCCTCCTGGCTACGGCCAGATTTCCGCAAATTCTGACGGGGGCATGGCTCTAGTCGGCAGGGCTGCCCGTACCTCTTCAGATCGGCCATCCAATGTGCCGTTGGTGGCTGTACAAGTAAGACAACCACATTACACGTTCCATAGTGTATGCAAACTGTGACTGATCATTTTAAAGGCAAAGCGCCGTCACGCTGGGGGATTGCGCCGAGGTACTGGGGCCCCGGAGCGATTTAATTACAAGACCCTAGGGCAAGAGGTTAGCGAGCTGTATGGTATTGCCTGCGAGCAGGATCGACTTTTAGATCAGCGTCTGGACCAAGAGGCGTTTCTAATCTCGATCCACGGCACGCAAGTGCGGCTTGTCGCCGCATACTTCACGGCCGACTACCTGCGTGCGGTGAAGTCGAACTCCCTTCCAGCCGACCAATATCTCTGGGTTCGCAGAACCAGGCCATTCGACCTCAAAAGTCGACAGGGCCGTAAAGACGCCCTTCGAAATATCATGGGGCTTGTCTACTACCTCTATAGTGGCGAGGCAAAGATGAACGAAATTCGTCTGATCAAAGATCAACTCCAAGCCACCTACGAGAAACCCCGCCCCTGACCTTCTGTCCGGCGAAACCGATGGCTTGTCCACTGTGGATTGAAAGGAACGTATTCCCCGGCACAAGAACATGATGGCGAGATTGCAGTTCTTACTTTATTGTTTCCACCGACAGAGATGATGCCTTTGGCATTTGGGTTAATAACTTGTTCTATCTACAAAGAAGCTATCAGGAGAAGCAATAATTCATTAAGTCGATAAAGTCATGGAATGTCATGAAAGCTAGTATGCCTGCTGAATTATAAACCAAAGAGCTAAAAGATCAACATCGGATTCGGCTGTCATACTTCTCACTCTGCTAAGGCTATACTGTTTCATAGCTCTGGGAATAAATACAGTCCTGATCAGTCCGGACTGAACATCACGTAGTTGACTACACCCATGAACATCACCAAGAATGCCTTGCGCCCTTCAGGCTCTACGAGATCGAATTCAGGCGACCGGTAGATTTTCAAATGCTCCTCCAAAGGCCTGCCTTGACACAGTGTCTGCAAATAAGATCCCGAAGCCACCAGTTTCGTAATTTGTACCGAGGTAGGAGAGGTACGACGCATAGTGATGACGAAGGACGCATACTCTCCACGATGGGGATTCGTGTTGAAAGCGACAAAAATGAGGAATAAACCATATGGTACCTCGCCTTTGATCTTATTCTCTTCTGTTGAACCTTTCGCGAACTGGACCGCGGTCAGTAGCTTGCAAAGGATGACCAAAGCGGCTAAAGTACACACATTGTAAATGACCAGAGGGGAAAACGGAGAGTTTTCTCCCTTGGGATGTCTGCCAATGGCCCCAGGACAATTGAGAGTCCCCCTGACCTGGAATAATGGCAAGTGGAATGGTAACGGTCCGCATTCCTTCCAACTGCGCGAATATTAGCAACGGCTAGTGACGTTGAGGGCAAGATACAAACATCTCTCCAAGACCATAGCATGCTATAATCATCCAGTGTATGATAGTTGACAATGGTATCGAATTAGGCTCGTGATTCTCGGGGACTGGGAATGTGAGATAGCTTGTCTCGTGGAAGACAGCGGAGAATGCGTTTTCGGGGTGGCTGAATTGATTGTATCGGAAATTGAGGATATCATCTTTTGTTGGTTCCATGAACTGCCGAAGTAGGCCTTGGAAAACTAAGTCTTTGGTTATGTTAAGACATGATATTATTCAAAGTCACTTAAGAACATACCCTGGTCGCCTTCGTCTGGAAGGTTCTTCTGACCAACCATCTCTGCTGCGGATATCGTGCCTTTTTCTTCCACATTGAGAGTGCGCATGTGTTCCGAGGTCCAATTCTTTGGTTTTCCGAGTAAGAATCCAATCATCTGCCGGGAAATATTTGAGGTATCCATCGTCGTTGCCGGAGCTGGAGCTGGAGCTGAAATCATCAGTTGAAACCATCAGTTGAAAATGTTGTGGAGTGTATGATATCATTCATCACTAGGTCATGATCCACATGCCTCAGGCCATCAATCGAGATTAACCAGCAACAATTGTATTTAGTGTCCTATTCTACAGCAGAACCCATGAGCAACGCCGGTCATGGTCATGGTCTTGGTTGGAGTGCATCAACTAGTCCCGAAGTCAACAAAGAGAATGCTTTATTTATTCATTGCAGGCCCATCAATAGAATCATTATGCGCTCTCTGGGCTTTCAATCAGAGATGTTTCAATCAACTTCTTTGTCAACCAGTCTCAGAAAATGATTGCTGTTTCCTTTATGCATTGTCTTCTAAAAAGTGCCGTGACTGATTTATTTGATACCATATCTGAGTTCCCCTGACTTAGAGGATGGTCTGCCATATTAATATCGACATTCTGTCTTTCTATCCGACTGTAGTCATCTCCTCTACTGTATCAAATCATTGGCTTAATTATTCCTTGTGCAGAGAATCCGACCAGGCATCCTGGGAAAAATGACACAACAGTCTAGACAAGTTTGTGAGATTTAATGCCCATTCGCCTTCACCAGGTCGATCATGACACATTGAACAAGGCAACTTGTTATCACAGGTGGACAACAAAGTATAGAATGCTTCGATGGCAGTAGTCGGGCATTGGCAATCAGTCGACTCCTTCAGCCGAGTCTTTCATCAGCAACAATCAATTCAAGACACTTGACGGGAATTGTACTTGGCTATAACTATATAAAGTCCCCAAGGCACCTTGAGAGGTGAGCAATCCATACTCTCTTCTGCAACTCTCTCATCACCAAGTCTGCAACATGGCCGACTCAGTGTCTACAGACCTCAACACCTCCCATTCCACGATTGGGTTTCTCTTTAGAAAACCAAAGAGGTGGACGCAAGAACATCTCGACTCTCTCAGAATTCAAGAGCACGAGAATACTTCAGTGTCGGAGATTGTTGGGAAGACAAACCTCCCTACAAATAACGATCCCGGTAAGTCCTGACCATGACCCTCTCAATGCGCAGAACTAACGTCGCAACAGCATATCGTCTCCTGACCCTACAGATTGCACTCCCTTCCAAAGAGGATATCCTGACTAAAGCCGAGAGTGACGACTGGTTCCCGGCGAACGCGTTCACGTATGTCTTTGATTCCATCCACAAACTAGCGCAGACTCCTGAAGACAAGACACCTCCAGCAGATCTTTTCGGCGGGATTGTGAGTGTTATGGCACTTTTATATCGTTTCCATAACCCGGAAGCCAGGAATATGTGCGTATCCTCTCCCCTTTGTCAATACTTGTTGCTAACATATCTCAGTTGGGACCTATCACATGGATTCCCCTTCCACTTCCAGACATGTCGAGTCCGGGGGGTCTTAAAGTGCAACGGAGCTCTTGGTTGGGCGGTTGACGGAGGAAGCACAGTAGCAACCGACACTCCGTTCCATTCCTTGATAATTTACAATGTGAGTGCCCCAGATATAATGCTTGCTTCCACCTGCTAACCACTATTCAGACTGTCACGAAACCAGAGGCCGAAAATGCCATGAAGTGTGAGATCCCGTTTGGGCTCTTTCTTGCCTTTGCGGCCTTTGACCGAAACCCGACTCGCGATGAATACGTATCCTTTGTATTCAATCTTCGGCGGACCGCTGTGCAAGTCACAAAGATTGTGGCCACCAGGTCGTATCTCCGTGCACTCTGCGAGGGCCGGGAGGTTTCTGAGCATTTGCATATTTATCGGTCCGCGGAATACGACCTCGTTGAACCTGATGGTAGGAAGGAGTTTCTCACGCTCTTCCTTGGAGTGATGAAACATTCTTTGACTCAATTCAGTGAGTGAGCTGATTGAAGGATTGCGAGGATATAGCTGAATGTATACAGGCGGGTGGCTTGAGATATTAGTCGATATCGGAGTAACTGGGCTATATCCGGGGACCATGCCGGACGAAACATGCTGGGTTTATCGAGGGGTTCAATTAGATCCTGACAATTAAGAGTCTCAGTGTCTCAAAGAGCTATCCTCGCACATACAGATTCGCTAGATTCTTTTCTCCCTCTTCATCGAGTCCTACAAGTCCTACCGTTCTGCCGTTGACCCCTATTCCGGAAATCGACGTTTCCAATACCTGGAACATGTCGTCCAACAAATCGGTCATCCTAAAATCTCTGAGAGATTGGGATACTTGGAATAAACAATTCAGGGCTGAAGGCGAACGCAAAGATCTACTTGATCTTGTTGATGGATTGGAGAATTTCCGTACAAGGCCGAAGACGCCAGACCCTGCGAACTATCATTCTCAGCCACACAATACTCGCAATTCCACTCAAGCAAGCATCTTGATATTCGATGACCCAATCGCAGAACTCTCGAACGAAGAACGATCAGCATACCAACTTGCGTACACCATCTACAAAGATCGGAGAGATTTATACGATAAACAGCGAGCATTACTTGACAAGCTACAAACCTGGATGACAAAATCAGTGGCTTCTAGCTATTCAAAGACGTGCTTCCATCACAAGAGAACCATTAAAGAATGGTACGATGCCTTGAAGGAACAAGTTGGAGTAGATGAATATGATATCAAACGGGAAATTGTGGACGCATACAAGCGTGCCGTAAAACCCTTATCCAAAACTCCAAAGGACTTTGAATCATGGATTACAAATTGGGAACAAATCATGGCTGAGGGGACCGAGAGAGACCTCTACTTTGCTACCAGTATTAATGTCTGGTTTGAAGACTTCATCACAGCTGCTGTCAATCCAATTGATCCTACATGGACCAAAGCATATCAATTGACCAATAGAAAGGAAGTAAGAGAAGGTTCTCTGAGCTATCGTACCTTAGCAAATGACTTCCGCGATGTTGTGAGAACCTTAAGCACCTCAGCTAGATTCACACGGATCGCTAAGGGATCTTTTGGAACTACTTTCGCTGGACAAGGCACTGGGGATGAATCAGATGATTCGTCAACCAACAGTACTGCTAAGGTCATACCAGAGAAGAAGAAAAAGACTGGCAAGCAGAACCGAAAACGGGGGCATTCAAGAACTATATCTCTGGCTACGGCAACAGGGAGATGCCGTGCTTGCAATCAAGGTCATGATCTTCACGCCTGCTACTATATCTTCCCAGGCAAAGCGCCTGATTGGTTTAGACCAAGGTCTGATATAAAAGAACGAGTTGAAGAAAAACTCAGAAAGGATGACAGTCTGGCTGAAGAAATCAACTGGCTTAAGAAATCAATGGATATCAGGCAAGAAGGCCATCAGCCATGATCCTAAAGAAGAAAATTGACTCCTACTTCGGGAGGTCACCAAATGCAAGGCAAGTTTCTATATACAACCTCCCTTATTGTTAATAGCGGCCTTTTCTATTGATCAATATCCACTGAAGAATTTATCTATTCTCAACTCCGGAACAACAATCTACATATTCAATGAAATCGCACGCTTTATCAACTTCCGAACTGCACCTGACGGAGATTTCGTGTGGGCCGGAGACAGCAAGGTGGCTATTCATGGCTATGGAGACGTCGATATACAACTCCTTGGTCTGAAGAAGAAACTGCGAATCCTTCGACTATATGATGTCGCATATTGCGAGGGATTTGTGACTAACTTAGTGTCCTTTTGACAACTTCGAAAACTAGGATACTGGTGGGATACTCGACCTCAACACAACTGCCTACGACATACAGATGACTCTGTGGTGGCCTACCTGCATGAGACTCATGACCAATCAGTACTAGAGTATATTCCAGACGACCACCCGTACATGCGAATGGCATTTCATATTAGAAAACACAAATTCAATACATGGACTGAACGGTGTCCGGTCACTGGCGATGCCATGCAGTGGCACCTATGTCTAGGGCATCCAGGACCACAAGCCCTAGAACACCTTGTCAATGCATCTAAAGGTGTACGGATCAAAGGTTTAAAAACTGTCGAATGTGAGTCATGCGGAACTTCTAAAGCTAAATGACGAATTCGACAAGAACCTCGAGAAATTAAGGAAGGACCAGGGATCCAACTGGCCCTTGATTTCCATGATTATGATACTGGATATGGCGGCTACAAATGTCAATTATTAGTCACTGACTGTTGGTCCGGATTCATGTGGGATTACTATCTTACAGACCATAAATCAGAGACCATTCTTGCTGCGTTGAAACACCTCTTTAGAATGCTTGAATGCCAATATAACATTTGTCCATGGAAAATTGAATGTGATAATGAGATTTTCATGAAATGCAAGATCGTCCTCTAATGGCTAGAAAGCCAGCATGTCAAGGTCGAGCCTTCGCCGCCACATGTCAAAGAACTCGACGGAGCCGCCGAACGCTCAGGGGGTGTGATTAAGGACAAAGCTCGTTCCATGCGTCATGGGGCCAAGTTGCCAGCAGCTCTATGGCCAGAGATTAGGCGCGCCGCGGTTTACCTTCATAATCGGACACCTCAATACAAGTTCAACTGGAAGTCGCTGTATGATCAGTTTCATACTTTTCTGGGTTAAAGAGAAGGTGTTATCAGGCCTGATCGCAAACCGTAACAAGCTCACTTAAAGGTCTATGGGTGTAAAGCCTTTACCTGATGACCGAATACCTGAAGAAAGAGAAACGGCTCCAGAGATTTAACCCCAAAGCCTGGATCGGATACCTCATTAGATATGACTCGACCAATGTTTACAGAATTTGGAACCCAGTTAAGAACACTGTCATACACGCCAGGGACGTGATTTTCAATGAAAATAAATTATTTGATGGCAACCTCAATCAAAGGATGATTGTCTACACATTGATCTGGGTGATCTAACCCAACTTCTTACCTCTTTGCATACACCAGAGGATGCCACAAGCTTGCGGACAGAAGCAGATGTAAGTTCAAGCTCGAATTTAGATGATATCTTTGTCGGCAACCTTGGAGTTCTAGATAAAGTAATCCATGAACTTGAAAATGAATCTGACAACCAGGTATATGGTGATCAGAACCTTATACAATTGGTTGAAGAAGCAATTAAGCTTGTGGAACAAGGCTCTTCTAAACCCTACTCCAATGACGACGACGTCATGAAGGACCAGATTCCACCATATCCTACACCTCAACAAACCCCGCCAGCGGCTTTGTTAGCTGCCTCAATTCAAGGACTGGAAGAATGTCTGGAGGACAGTGAACTAATTGAAGCATTTAATTCACTAAGAAATGCAGTATGGAAAGCAGCATTTACAGCTGGATGGATGAGCCAACATGTCAGCTGATTACATGGGAAAACTCTCAATCGAGCACAGCTCCAGCGACTGATGCGCAAAGGTATGAAAGCTGTTCATTGTTGAGACTTGCCTCTGCTACCTACAAAACATGAAGACATTAAAAGACACCCTTTGGGATGGCTGTTTGAATAAGCAGAGAAAGAACACCTGCAGAGCCACATTCTAATGGATTCTTGGACTACAGTCAACCGATCTAAAGCAAAAGGAGATCAGATACTAGACTGCATGTGGGTCTACGTATATAAGTTTGATAAACACGGCCGATTGATGAAGTGCAAAGCTTGACTAGTTGTACAAGGTGATCAATAAAACAAGGACAAAGCAGAAGACACGTACGCAGCAACATTGGCAGCACATTTATTTCAGACCTTTATGGTGATTGCAGCTCAATTTAATCTAGAGCTTAAGCAGTATAACGCAGTTAATGCCTTCGTGCATGCGCCCTTGAATAAGAAAGTCTTTATGCAAATGCCTTGGGATACCAACAGAGAGGAAAGATCTTTCGTCTCAATAAAGTGCTGTGGCAGCGACTATTCACCAATACTCTCCTTAATATAGGATTCAAACCAATCCCGCACGAACCCTGCTGCATGACTTATGATGGCATTCTTATCTTCTTCTACATTAATGACATTGTCCTTGCTTACCGGAAGTCCCAACACTCAAAGGCCAAGGACCTGGTCAACCAACTGACAGGTCAATATAACATTTCCAGTGGTGAAGACCTCCAATGGTTCCTAGGAATTGCCATCTATCGGGACCGAAAACAAAGAAAGGCGTGGTTAAGTCAAGCATCCTACATTGATAAAATATCAAGGCTTGCGGATACAACTCAACCAGGCGAGACACTAATGATCAAAACTAAATTACTCCCCTACAAAGAACGAGCGTCAGGTCAAACTGTACAAAGATATTAAAGGAAGATTGGATCCTTACTCTACGCCGCAGTCACCACTCGAATTGATATTGCGTTCGCGGTATCTTGGTTGGCTAGATTTTTAACAAATCCTGGCCCAGAACATCATGCTGCTACGGACTGCATTCTACACTATCTACATCAGCACTAAGGACTAGCTCTACAGCTAGGAGGAGCGGACGACTTCCTAGTGGCAACTGATGCCTCGTTCGCAGACAATACACTGGACTGGAAGAGTTCTCAGGCTTATGTCATGGTTCTGTTCGGTGGAGTCATCAGATAGCGAGCAAATAAGCAAAACACCGTGATAATGTTAACCACAGAAGCTGAATTGCTATTGATATCTCAAGGCGCTAAAGAAGGTTAATATATTAAGCGCCTGCTGGACGAATTGAGTGTTAATCTTGATGAACAGCAGATACGAATTCATTGCGATAATCGCCAAACCATTTGCCTAGTGACAGATGAAATAGCTCAATTGCAGACAAAACTACAGCATGTTAATATCCACAATCATTAGCTGCGACAGGAGGTGAGAGATAGATGGATCACAGTCGAACACGTCTCCACGAAGAAGATGATCGCGAACAGGTTGACGAAAGCGTTGTCAAGGACTGAATTCAACGAGTTCCTGAAGCAAGTCAATCTCGTTAATATAGCCAATAAGATTACAGAACGAGAGGCTATGAAAAGTCAGCAAAACAAAGAGCTCGATCACAGCTCATTGATGGCGTATATGGGTGATATTGGATAGTGTCGCTATAGCTTCATGTCAGCTTTGCCTTCGGCTTCAGCTGAGGGGGTGTGTTAGATTAGTCAGCACTTGGATAGGCCTAGCATCAGTCCGCTTTAGATACAGGGCCCCTGACTTAGAAAAAGGAACACAAGAGATGAGGACACACACATAAAAAATCATCTATTTTCGTCTAACGAATCTGACAGGTCCCCCAAGAACTCATTCATATGGCAAGCGGGGGGTTCGTGTATCTCTCAGACTCTAGACAGGCGGTATTGTGACGGTCCTTGGTGGGTTAGCAGGTTAATAATAGTTACTCAACTATTGTTGCATACAAGGCTATGATGCTGCATGAGTTCATTGGCAGCCGCGAGCGCTTCGAATTAGCCAGCCACTGGGGTTTTTGAGGCCGAACTTTCCTGATGGACTAGGGTTGGCGTCCTGCAATCGCCCACAGCCCTCTTCGCCCAAGACGACTGGTACGGTGATATTCGCTCGGCGGCGTGATAGGATTTCTTACATGCATTAGCACCGGTATGGTAGCTTAGAGGGCGTCATATGAATTAGGCCATGTATTGGCAATATGAGGAGAAATATTATGATGCATGGCCAATCCTAGACAGTGTGGGATGGTCAGAACATTCCAGCTGCAACTATAGCTAGTACTACTGCAAACGAACCATGCTTCCAAATCTGTCGCCGAGGACAGTCAGACGGAGACACGCCTATTGCGAGGGAACGGGGATCACCCGTAGCTGCCTAGATTAGCTCCAGGCCAGAGCGGTCATTTTCCGATTACCCTGTCTCCGTCCGGACTGTCCGACCTGGTACGGCTGCTTCCTGTCGAATCTTGGCTGCCATGTGGATGCCCTCCAGAATGAATGGCTTCCAGTAATTTCTGCTGCCGCTGGGATAGTCTGAATTCCACTTCGCGCTCAAAACATCTCCTTTCTTTTCGTGCCACACCGACGAGGCCAGCTCTGCATTAGAGTATCTCTCCGCAGCCTCGTTCATGGCTCGTCGTGTTGCCTCTTCCCACTGGGAGCGGCTGTCGCTCGGAGCCAGCACCGGGTCCACCCACCTCATTCCGCCTCTGTCAAGCTTAGTCCGGTCCTCCTGCTGCTTGGAGGGCGACCAAGCAAACGAATCAGGATTCAGTGCAACGATCGTATTCAGCAGGGCTCTGCGCGAGCTAACCTGCGTTCCGAAGCGCTCAATCTGGATTCGTGCGTTGAACCTCATCCAGTCCTTCGCCCCGGCACTCGGCGGCAGTATGTACGCATGTGAAAGGATGCAAAAGACCAGCCAGAAGGTGATGAAGAAAGCGTCCCATTCCTGCAGCGCTGCCACTGCAATTACAAGCCCCCACTGGCCGAGAATGAGGATTCGCAGCATTACTCGCAACCAGCTAGCCGCCAGCGGAGGCACTGTAGCGCCCGTGTGCTCCAGCGGTCTGTTGAGCAGGGAGTTCACGATAGTGCTCTCGCCATAGAACACGGTCCAGTCCATGTGGTTCATATGTTTTGTCACCAGGACGAGCCGGTTGTACGAACTGTGCCCATCGACAAGTAGTCTCCGGGGCCTGCTCCCAAACAAGACAGAGACGACAAGGCCAGTCGCGGGAATGGCCACCAGAAAGGCCAACGACAGATAACACTGCAGAATCCCGCTCATGATGATCATCCCCGCCAGGAGAACCCAACCCATGAGCGAGACGATGCAATACCACGGCGACATCGCCGCCCCCCGGCCAAACCTAATTATTACTACCTCAACATTATAGGTTTTATAATGTTGAGGTAGTAATAATTTTGTCTTAGATAAGGCGTCTAGGATACTACCTGAGTGATCATGGCGGCCTACATAAGTGCCTGTCAGATCTGGAAAGCTGACATAGTGATTGCTCCAGAACTCCCATGACACTTCACTATGATATTCTGTATTGCGGTGGCTGAGAAAGAGATAGCTGTGAAGTAATTATAGTCAAGAATTAAGAGGGTATGTCCATGCAAGTGGTTGGCCTTGCTGCTCAAAACTGCCACGTCTATCTCGTTTTTTAACTAATGGCAGAGTGACATGTTCTGGGCTCGCCGATGTGGCTTTAATGAAAGGGCTTATTGTGTGCAGCTTTAACAAAACCCTTTCACTGCAGGAATGAAATATATATATATGAAGAAAGAATATAGTGAATTTTCCCTCAATGTCACCCTGCTGAAAGTGGGAAGAGCCCAGTTTTAAGTAAGCCATAACCACAGTTTTAACTACATCTAAAGTTGTTTAACTCATCCGTAGCCACAACATGGAGGGAGCTTTCAGAAGGTTAGTTGTCTTAATGTTCTTATTTGCTTTGAAACTTATGGCAATGCAGATATGTTACTTTGCCATTGTTTACTTTCTAAATTAGTTTAGAAAAGAGGGAGATTATAGTGCATTCTTGTCCCTTTGGTAAATCTCTCCCAGAGCCTAGATGCCCTCATGAATGGGACGATGATTGAGGCGAAAACTAGACGGGTTGACTGGTCTGATGTGGATGAAGATACCTTTATCTAGTTGTGTGAATTTGCATACCTACACAACTATATACTGCCCTCGCCTCACTAGATAATTGATTATCTAGTCATTCCTGAAGGCAACAAGAGCAGCCAGGCACAGAAGGGGAAAAAAAAAGAAAAAAAGGTCTACTGCTTTCGAATGGCCTGAAGGTCGGCCCCAGCCTGAGGCTGTGATTGAGTTGGAGTACCTACCTAAGGAGTACCCACCAACTGAAGAGCAGGAAGCTGAACCTGAGCTTAAAACTGAAGACTAACCATTTGAGGAGGGCAAGCTACTGTATAAAGAGAAAAAGTATATAGATATGACATCTTCATGATACATTTTTAAATTTGACTATTAATCCTCTTCGCAACAATTTGCAGGTAAAGGGCCATTTCTATATAAAAGGAAATACTAGAGAGTAAGATTTTACATCTGTCTTTCTGGGACATGCACAGCTCTATATATTAGCTAATAAATACAGAATTAAATCACTCTGCCAACTGGTTCTCTCTAAGCTCTACCAGACCTTGAAGATGTTTACCCTTTATCATCAGAGTGTGACAGGACTTATTGACTTTGTTTAATTTATTTATTCTAAGGCTCTGCATTATGCCTAGGGAATAGGTGCTCTGAGGAATCTTGCAATACTTTATATTGTGTTAGTTCTGGGTTAACTTGGTAATGATAGTTGTCTCAAGGAGTTACTAGATTTTGTTGCTGATTTCTGCCGTATTATTTAGAAGGCAGATGGCTCTTCCTTGAAATGATCGGATAGGAAAAATGACCAATACAAACTTAGAGCTATTGGGTTATCTTCCGTCTTTCCCGCGTCGGCTGTTGTTGATCACTGACATGTTAGTAAGTCGCAAAGGCTATATTCCCACGGCTTTGCGAGCACGTCATACAATCAATATATGGTACAGAATAGAACCTTATCAACCAATAAGCCATTCCCCCAATCTTTTTGAGTAGCTTGAGTACTCTTTGAGTTTACATATGTGTAAAGGCACCGTCGCCAGCATCATCTCTTTTGTGCGAAAGAAGAGACTTGGACTAGTGTATTCGGTCTGAATAGAGGATAGCCCTACGAGTACAGGCGAAAGGCTGTTGGCGCTAAAACAACGTTCCCATTGTAAGGCGACGAGCGCAAGTACGAGCATATTCTATTACTTCATTTTTGTATTCTGCATGACAACGGCGTAAGCTAGCAGGCATAGAGGCCCCGGCATTTGAGCACGCCCATGGACAGCTTTAGCTCCCAATCACTCTCTAGTTAGTTTATGTTAGGATCTGAGCAGTCTATAAGTGAAAAGTTAGTATGACCATAGAAGACGGAAACTGATCAGAGAAGCTTAAGGTAAATTCAAGTTAAATGAGTCCCGAGATCCAGGCTATATATCGCGCTAATATGAATGAGCAGAAGGGGCTCTGTAATTTTTTAGGAAGTATCCCATATCAGAGAGTTCATGTATAACATTGGTTGCACGGATAAGGCTTGGGTTGCACCAGTGTTGAGATATTCAACTTACCGCTCAATATAGATCAAAAGTAAAGGATTCCAAGAAATTTTGGAGTCACGATGGTGAATGGGCGATCGTTACTTAAATTTTTGATGCTTTGACCTAATGTAGGGTGAGCCAATCAGACTGACTACTTAATTACTAGCCATTTATATTCTCGGAGCAAGCTATAACTGTACTCGATCCGCCACGTATATCAGTGTCTCCTCGGTATTGCAGCTTCCGCTCACTCCGAACTTATTACGACTAGAAGCTAGGATTGATCGACTTTAGCCAATGTCCCAGAATCACTCCAGAAAGATGCGCACTCAGCGCACCCTGCGCCTGAGAAAGACAATTTTCAACAAAATCGAATATTTTTGCAAGAAATGCAACGCCCAGTGCTTTTTGGTACTGCAGATAAAAGGAGACGGGAAGACATACGTACTCAATATCATGGGATGGAATCCTTCTGCAGAGCAGCTGGTGTGTTCTGACTCAGTCACCTTTGGATTCCGGAAGGGTTCTAACACTGCCTAGAATTTGTATTTCCCTACACCTGTCCGGAAATTCATAGACGATTCCTCTGGCGAATCTTCCCGACTCTGAAGAAACGTTGAATGATAGGAAATTGACAGTTGCGTAGCATAGATGGATAGCAGAAGGGCACAGTTTTAGTCAGGTGATCTGGTCAGGACCATTGACATGGAAAGAGCAGTTGCCGGAAACTGCCTAGTTCGACCAGGTTTATATGAGAGTACCACCCTGTCATCCATCCTTTCTGTACCAGACACACGATAATACACACTAGCCTGGGGTTTCCGCAGTCTTTGCCAGGGAGTCTGTCCACAGATCCCTCAATCAAATCTAAGCCGTCACTGGAACAATTACCTCTTACTGAAGCCACTGGCGAGACTATTCACTTATCATACTCATATAGAATCACGAATAGGTTGTTTTCATGGAATGCGTTAGACCTCTTGAAACCCCGACAATCCTGTTGTACGTAAAAAGACATATCTCATTGCTCTGGACTAAACCCCTGCCTAATTCAAGCTGCTGCGAGAGACTGTCCATCTACCTCTCCATGGGCAGGAAATCTTGACGAAGAATAATCTAAAGTACATCTAAGGAGCATCTTACTGATGAGTAACCTCGTAAACTGAGCGCAGGAAAAAGACACCCGGATGATCAATACACTCATGAACTACTGTCAGTTCGCGTCCTCCAATGTCACGCTCGAAGCCGGATTCCGTGGACTGTTTCAGTATGATTCTTGAATTCCGGCACGCTCGAGGGGAGGTAATTAATGCTCCTCATGCCACATAATCCACACCGTTTCGTACCTGTATCAAATGTGGCAAGCTCCGCCTGGTGCAGGTTTTCCACATGGTCCCAAAGTTTGTTGATTTTGCTCTTCTGCTTTTCACAAAAAGTAGGAGGTAGACCTGGGTTAGATAAACAAAATGGGCATTGCAACGGATCATATTGTTCTGGTATGATGGTGAGAGTTGGAGATGTTAGGGACGGCTGGGGTTGCACTATAGTTGCCACCTGCTTCCCTTAATAGGGCGCCTCTTTGCGATCCTGCCATTGGACCAGGAGATGGATATACTTTAATCAGCAATAAAAAATTTCCTCTTCTGTATTTAGGGGAGAGGAGTAGTAGAGTAACTGCACCAGCTCAGCTTGCTCTGGGATCTGATAGTGATGGAGAGAATGAGGCTAGTTATTACTTTCCTGGGGCTGAGAGCCATTCTCATACCGCTGGTTAAAAAGCTCTGTATCCTTATTTCGAAAATGTCTCTGTCAATTTTTACTCTTTGCTTTCTGTTAAAGCTTAGTTAGCTTCCTAGTCAGCTCTGCATCTGCTTATTGCTTTTGCTCGCTGAGTTTAGTTCCTATGGCTTTGCTCACTCTTTAATAACCTTGCTAGCAGATCTCTTCTGTAAGTCTTTGGCAACACTCTCGCAGACGCCTGACCTCATGGTTTCTATTAATTTTGCACTTCTGCTCATCTGTCAGACCTAGTGGCGCAGTGTTATTAGCTAGAAGCATGGCTGATCATAACTCCCTTTGCACAGTTTCATTTGAGGGCCGCTGATGGAATGCAGCGGCTGTGTCAAAGTCCACCATCTCATTAAGGTAATATTTGACGGCATTGGACTCATGGTCAGCAACTTGATCTCAAACCAAGGCCGGTGCCCTATCTGTTTCCAGTAACTCGATCAGCTACAGCGCCTGATAGGGTTGGGGGAGGCATCCTACTGTTAATGGCGTTGATACTGCCGCGTCAGAGGACTTTTTGGGTCAGGTTTTCCTCTTTGCCAGATCATTCTCCAGTCTGTTTCAGATTTTGGTTCCAAGTAGCGGCCTCGAGAGGTTTGAAGCCTGATGTCCGGTAACCCTCTGGAGTCCGCTCCAGCTCACAAAAGATAGGAATGTCCAACCAGTCCCTCTTGATTTTTAATTACATACCCCTTTGATGTGATGGGATTTGGTGGGTATAGATATCCTCAATCTCCCGAATGTCAGGCGCAAAAATACCATCATGCCAAGCTAGTGACAGTAGCTGTGACAGAAAGTCAAAAATTAGATTATCTTCATGTTCAATCATAAATCACTTTCTAGGCTTTAGTAAGTAATATAATAGCCAGTACATCTGAAGGTTGT